GATGAGGGGATGAGTCAGAGGAGATGGGGAAGAGAGACTTATCTTCTGGACTAACTCCCACATCTGTTCACCGCAGAAATCACTTGAGTCCTAGGGTACAACCTTATGTTTTCAAAATCTCACCTTAAGCAGGAGAAACCCAGGGAACCTCCTGCTTGGAAAACCCATCACATCAGTGGATTTTAATTTGTAGGCCTCTCCAATTTTTTCCAATGGGACTGTGGCCTCCTGCCTAGTAAGAAATCCTGTGGTGACAGCAGTCTTGCTTTGCACAGGTGCTCCCGCACTAGGCATAGGCTGGCCAGAGGAGGTTCAAGAAGATATGTGCAAGATTCACCTCTGAGGAAGAGGCGTGGGACATCTCTGTAGTAGGTCAATACTACAGTGAATTTTTGCACACAGTGAGGGAAAGACACGTACACTGAGAGTAGTTAATGCTATGCTGGTGAAGCTGTTTGTAGAAGCTACTTCCCAGCAGCAAAGATACCATGCATCCTAAAATTTCATCTTTTACAGATACTTCTGCTTGCTGGAAGACAGATACTGGGCTGATAGAGGTTGTTCTTGTGAGAGGTCAGAGAGATTTGAAAGAGAAATAATAAACCCACCTTATTTTACATGCTATTGTAGATGTGATCATTTTTTTAATAATCACTCCATAACTTAATCATTTCTTTGAGAGATTTACAAATCCAATTTACATAAGCATTGCAAATGCGATGGTCTAAGAGATTTTTAATGAGGCAAATGTGCTCATTTATGTTCAAATCGTAACAAAGAGAGGGAAGAAAACAGAAACAGAACACCTTGTCTTTGCTCATGGAAAATTTTTCACTGTAAAGTGTTGAACAAAGGCCTTCAGACTTCCTGGGGGAACCCTTGCCTTCCAGAGGCTTTCTGATATTTTCTGCACTTTATTGAAGGAAAGAACTTACATTTAAAGATAGGTGTAGACTGCGTCTCTTATTATTAGAATCTCTTTGTTCACCGATGTAATGTCAATAATTAGAAAACTGCAGCAGCAAAATAGCAAAAATCTTAATTCCTTTGTCTTAAGTTCAGACACTTCAGTAAAAATAAGTGATAAGTAAACACATACGGTTTAAATAGTCTTTTTAAAAAATCAGTATTTTAAATGAGCTACTTATGAGGTCTTATCTATGTCACTTGTGACACTGAATATACGAGTTAAGTAATCATTGAGAATTGTATTATGATGATGATGACAATGATGATGATGATGTATGGGACTGAGAGCAGATACTCCTTTTATTAATTATTTTAAGGGATTGCATATTGAAATGTTGCGGTGCAGAATTTTCGTTCAGTAGCTGAGATGTGTCCATTATCTGGCTGAGTGATGTAAAAATTCTGTCGTTCAGTCGTTCCTTCATAGAAGATTTATCTGACAAATATTTTCCTGAAGCAGCATTCCGTCATCAGTGCCACTCTCTCAGGTGGCATTTCATCAGGAAGTGTCACGATCAGAAGGAATAAGACCCTGTCCTTACACTGAAACATGACCAAAATGGTGGATGAAAAGACCTGGAAGAAAATACTCTTCAGCACAACAGAGCACTGCTATGGAGGCACCAGCCAGTACCTCAGTATAGTTAATACTGTATTAAGCACAGTGACAGCTATATTCAGTTCTGTGTTTTTGACAGAATAAGCTGGACCTCTATCACGTGGAAGTCTGAGGCCAACCCTAATATTCTGTATTTGGTATTTTTGGAATTCCTGTTTGTGTGCTATGGAGAAAAGTACAGACAATTTTCCAGTAAGTTATTATTGCTCATCAGTTTTTATTCCTGATGAATGTGAATGCCTCAGACCGTAAATCTTTCCCTGGTCCAGGCTAACTGTTGCCTTTCCTGGGCTTCCAGCCAGCATAGTTTTGTAGGGAGGAATTACACAACTTGATGAGAAAGTAGTAAATAGTCCACTGTTAGCAGCTATTTGAAATAGCAGCTGTTCAAGGCTACTCAGCAATGGGGAATATTAGCAATATTACTGGGCAAACTGTAGGTGGTGTACCATATGCGCATATTGCCACACGCTGAGTCGTATTTGTCTAATGCGAAACTTTCATTTACTGGCAAATGTGATAGTGATAGTTACAGTGGTCACTGCTGAAGTACTTGAACAGATTCTGGTAACCTGTCACCATGCGGTACGGATGGTACGCATGGCTGAGGAGACGAGTGTCTAGCCTTTCATATTTTATACTTGCCAGGCCCACAACGGTGTCCCTTATTCCTAGTACCAGTAATATGTAATGGACGTGTTGTTAATATCTAGAGAACAGAGTATGTGCAGTTTGTCTGCACTTGCCCACATGAAGGTCTGGGGTGTGATGGAGTTGGAGGGTAAGCTGAGGGTCTGTGCACGACTGCGTGCTCAAATATCCATCAGACAAGTAACTGAAATCCGTGTAAACGTGTGTTTGCAGGTCTCGTGTGGACACTGAGCATTGTTAGGCCTCCAGTGGAAGAGCTGCTGCAATTTACCCTTTCTGCACCCTCATTCTTATTTACATCAAAGAAACTAAGAAAAGAGCCATCATTCATTTTACCCTCTCCTCCCAGCTTGCTCTCCCTTGCTGCAGCTTTGTCCACGGGTCACACTAATGCCACCTGTGGGATATAGTGAGCTCTGATCCAGGCAACTCTGAGGGCCATTAGATCTAGCAACTCTCTTATTTAGAAAGGTTGGATCTCTCCTTTCCCAAAGGATTATAAGGGGTTTTTTTCTTAGTCTTGAGTAGATGTGTGATGAGATGTTAAAATGTCAACACCTTGATTTATAGAGAATATCTTAAGTTATTTTTAAAACGTTAGAACTAATTTTTCTGTCCCTCTAGGGCTTGTACATACTATTTAAGTTGTCTTTACTAGCACAGGAATATAAAAAGAGAGAAATAACAAATTTTACAAGTGTTGAAAATAGACAGGAAAATAAGAGAGGATTTTTTCTGTAAAATGTATTGTGGACAAAAAATGTTTATGATACTAAAGTTTCATTTGCTCTCTTTTGGGATGAACTGTATGCCTTTCCGTTAGTAATTAATGCAACCTCACCAAACAATATAATATGCTGAGAATGTATAAGACATAAGAATATAAAAACAAGTTAAGTGGGTCATCCCTTATGATTTTCTAAGCCAATATATCTTTTACATCAAAATTAGCAGTGGTTGGGGTCACCCTAAATTTGATTCTTTGACATTTTAAACTTGCAGAAATAGCCATTTTTACTTTTCTTTGTATGAGATGAATGCATTTTAGAAAAATAGCCATGGCCTTAGTCTCCTGAATTATCCTTTGCTTGGGAGATAGTACATATTTTGTTAAAACAATGGCATTTTCAATAAGCAAAGCATTTGCCCTAGCGTCTACTTAAAAGAATAATGAGAAAAACATACAAATTTAATAATGACATTTACTTTTTTTTTTTTGGCTACATAAGGTAGTGTGAAGCCTACCCTTTCAGATCAGAAATTATTTTTGGCCTCTGGAAAGCTGGACCATCTTCTCTTAGAGCAGTGTGCAGCTGCCGGGCTAACCTGGCTCTTCCAGGAGCGCTGCCCGCTCTCTGCCTGCTCGTCACCAGAGCATTTGCCCTGGCTGTTCACCTGCCTGCATGGGAACCAGCCAAGCCCAAACGCTTTCCTGACCTGTCTAAGCAGCCATCTGGAAGGGGGCAGATGCCATTATTCAAAAGTACTTTGGTAGATGGGTCCAGGGCCCTTAAAAGCTGCCACCAGGAGTGTGGACCCTGCTGCACAGTTAGTAAAGCACCTATCTTTGAAGCGAATGCTTCTGTCTCTTGTCTCAGGCACCAAGCATACGGTCTGTATTACAAGCGGAGCGAAATACAGCGCCTTGGGGTGAGATAGAGCCATGGCTATTTTTCAACTGTTCTCAAAGGGAGAGGAGCACCTTGGGTAATGGCGTCCTCTCCTCTCTCCTTCTAGCCCTGTGCAAAGGGAGATGTCTTCCCATCTCCTGGTAGTGTCTTACATTGGCAAGTATTTCACAAAGGGAGGGGAAAAAAATAAATAAGGAAGACAAAAAGTCAAAGCAAATGCAGTATGTGGGAGGAGGGATTTTCAGTCTCACATCTTAAATACTGGGATAAGAGCTGGTCCTTCCTGCATGGCCACAGTTGCCATCTTGGACCATAAGGTGGAGCAGGAAACTCAGTCTCCAGCCCAGTTCTGTCCCCGCCTTTCCTGCAGTACCTGTGGACAAGTCTGCTAATGGTGCCGGTGGTGCCAGTTGTTAACTGGCTGCTGTTTTGACACTGCCAAATCCTTTCACACAGGTCACCACAACAGTTGCAATGCTCTGTGTAGCCCATTAACAAATTCTTTTGCTGTGCAGACCTCTGATGTGTTTTAAAAGCCCTGTTTGAAAGCTCAAGTGCTGTTTTTTTTGTTGGTCTGTCTGCCCACTTTCTGTTTCTTGTCTCATGGTAATGTATTAACTGTAAGTACAAGTGACAGCACAGGGGAATGGTAGACTGGGGTCACGCAGGGTGCGGCCTTTCTAGGAAAGATGAGACTCCTTCTTGAGAAGCTCTCATGAAGTTGGCTTTAGAATATTTACCAACTACCTGTCTCACAGGCAGCAGCAGGATTTGGCCCTGTCGTGTTATAGTATGCAATCGGATGTAAACGCATTGATCTCAGTGGAGTTGTTAACTGCTACTGGTGCAACAAAAACACCATTTGGCCTAAATGTTATGGAGAGATGACAACCAACATACTGATCAGATCTGTTTCTCAGAGATCTCTCAGGCAGGGGAGGTAGCCAATCTGTCTGTGCTGCTTTGGGCCATCTGAGCTTCCCTGGAGAATTTAGATTTACATTTAAGTTGCATTCAGTTTTTATTCATGTTGGCTTAGAAAATGTTTAATGTCTTTTTTTTTTTTTTTTTTGGTCTTGTTTTTTCCTGCAGTAATAGTAAAAATCTGTTTTTCTTCTCTAACTGTGCAGGCTGGCATGGCTTTGACTTACGATCCAACAGCTGCTATACAGAATGGGTAAGGAATGCATGTTTTCTTATGCCTTTTTAAAAACTATTTTGAATGCCATCTTCTGTTTTCTCTTTCTGTGGCGAAACTTACTCAGAAGCAAATTCACTCAGTCATATTTTGTCTGAAGCATGTAATGCTATACTGTCAAGTTCTTCTTTTAGTTTCTCTTTTGTTTTTATGCCCTCTTGTTTGTAATATCCATTTGAATGGGAAGTTGTTTTTCCTAATAGTTTCCATCTCTATTTGGCAAATGCTAGTGAATGTTTTTTTAAGCTCTCTGTCATGAAATGGAAACCAGTAAAGTTTCCCTTTACTGACTTTGTTTTTGTTAAAATAATCATTGAAGATTCCAGCGTATTTTGGATAATAGAGCTGTTACTTCATGTGGGATTCTCCCTACAGGCTGGCTGGCTTCCATAGCATTGTCGGAACAGAAATGCCAAATAGGGAGAAAGCCTTAAATTAGTGTGTAAGCAGATGCGAGTTAGGGGTAAAATTCTGAGCAATACTTTTCTTCATTTCTCAACAATGGTTTGCATACACAAAGGATTGTAACTTTTTTCAAATTTAGCAGAGAAGGTACATCGTCGTATTACTTACCTGCATGATTACATTTCCAATTATTTCGTAAGCTAGAAAAACAGGACCTTGAAATCTAGCTATACTTTCAGATAGGTTAACAACAATTTGAAGAAAAGCAAGAGGTTCATCCCTGAACTCTTTGACAATCACTCTTTGATCAGAGAGATGCTTGATATGATTATCAAATCCCGTGCATACTCCCGTCTGCATTCTCCAGCTGAAGCAGAGAATGTATTGATATACGCAAGAATGGCTTTATTTGTTAAATATACGCTAAATATTTTTTAGGGCACTGCTAGTTGAAGCGTTTAGGAAAAAACTAACATTTCCAGTAGTTTAAAAAAAATAAATCAATGATAATAGTATATTTTGCTTAAATACCCTTTACAAGCAGTAGCTTTGGAGGACTTGTGATATTCCCATGTTGTGGAGGAAGCGGCCAAACCAAAGCAACTCAGAAAAAAGAGGGTTTTTGCATAGTTGTGATTTCAGAATCCTCTGTGTTCTGACCTCCCAAATGAGTCTCTCTCCTCTATCATCATATTTTTCAGTTGGTAACACATTATAGGATATAAATAAAACCATCACTAGTTCATAATCCACCAGTGTTTCATCCAGACAAATGGCTTTTATTTTCAAAGGAATTCCTGCATGTCAGTTCCATGAATTGTGATTTGAATGATCCTTTGAGATTAATATAATTTTACTTCAAGAATATTTTTTTTAAATTATGAAAGTTATCTCAGAATCAGGTATTATTTGTATCAGAGAGTACCTATGCTGCTCAGCTGTTCAGGCTGCTCCAATGGTTTGGTCACTCAATTGGTTGAACATACTGTCACTGATCATTGGGAAAAGAAACAGTACCCAATGGAGAATTTCAGCTCTGCAGTTTTTTAAATGTTCTTTTATTTGTAAAGCGTGAAATAAACTACAGCAGTGGATATATCTCTAAGAGTGACAATAAGTTACTGCTTTGACATATCTCTTCTATTGAGAGTATCAAAATATTTTCAGTATCATCAGGACAAACCCATCTTATTCAAAATGCTTTTATGGTGAGATCTTGATTGTGTGCAGTATGATGAGGAGAAGCTCTTACTATGCGGAAAAATTGGTTTGTCCACCAAAAGTTAGACAACTGCTGTTCCATCCTTTGGTTGCATCTTTAAAATGCTGTCACCTGAGAATTACCAGGGCCCTTTGGTTACACAGTTTCTTTTTACCTCCCCAGGCATTCACTTAATAGTCTCTACTTATAAATTTTTACCATTTTTAATAAACGTCTTTGCTTGCAAGCACAATAAAACCTAGCTCATGGGTTTTATTTTAGCTAAGTCTGGGAGCACCTCAATGCTTTCCTTGTAAAATGTGCAAATGCGATTTGTTGCTCACAGGCACAACACATGGGTATCATAGCAGGTGTTTGTCATGGTGAAAGAGAGTTAAAGGCTCTTAAGCACTGTGAAGTAAAACTGGTTAACTTAATCGCCAGTGAAGAGGTGTTAGGCAAGCATATTGCTCTTCCTCATAGTGGGGACAGTCTGGAAGTGAGCACAAAGCGGCTGCTTGCAGCTCCCCTGTGTTGATAGTGTGCCCATACCCACCCTGTGCGTAAAATGCTGCAAAATACTTTGCAGTAAGGTGAACCAAGCAGCTAAAATTTACACGGGGCAATGTTAGCCAAAGGTCTGTAAAGCATAAACCACTTCCTTGTAGCAGGCCTGTTCGGTGCAGTGAGGTTTAGCGGGTGTTGACCCTGCACACAGCTCAGGACTTGATGTGCTGTGATCGCTTAGTCTTTTGGGTGCCCACCAGCATGGAGCTCAGTGAACTGAGGCTGGAGGTGGGAAATGTAAAGATACCCAAGCCAAGGTGAAGATCCAGGTGAAGTATGAATTACCAATAAAACTTAAATAGAAAGATTGACTGCACATGGTGACGTCTATTAGAGTCCTTCATAGGGTTGATAGATGCATTTTGATGCATGTAAGTTGCTAAGCCCACACATGGAGGATGGAAGCCTACTAGAGAGATGTGTCTCTGCAGGTGTCATGGGGTGGCATATAAAATTCACAATTCCTTAAGAAGCATGGGTTATATTAGGTTTTGGGGTGGGGCATAACCAAACCTCTGGGAAGAATCTGGACTCTTGTATGTTATCCAGATGAAAAGGTGGGTTCTCATTGCTCATGATGTAGTATATACTACTTTTATTATACTTTTATTACTGTATAACTGCATATTTGCCTTGAAAATCTATAGCAGGAATAAAACAAAATGGAGTGAGAGAGAGGTTTTCACTAAAAATAGCTAAGATTTTTTCCCCACAAAGGAATAGATAATTTTCTTCTGAGTCTATTATGTTGTAAAGCTTCATTCTCCATTTCATTACATTGTTTTTATGCCCATGTAACTCTGTTTAAGCATCCAGTGGAGTTATATCAGCAAAAAACTGGTATAATGGGAGTGGAGAATCCGGCCCGTAGTGTACCATAGCATTGCAGTATGAGTTACTGAAGATGTGGTAACCACACACTTCAGTAGATAAGCTCTTTTCCCCTGCCAATCTCTCTGTGCCTTTTTTGTTTTATAATCAGCCTTTTCTGAATTGCATTTACAAAGGTACTCAGGTTTTATTTTGGGGAGTAGTGTGCCTGTTGTAATACACTATTGATTTTTCAATTTGTGGCATTAATATTGTTTTAGTGGTTTAATGCACTCATACAAAGAACAAAATAGAGCTTGTTACTTTCACTGTAAGGATGCTCATTTAAAATGTTCCTGAGGCTTGAGTCCTCCTGGCCATTTGACTAAGATTGCGATGTACTGTGTCAGTTTAATATCAGATATCTGGGGGACTATACTCCGCATTTGCTGGCCAATGGGCTCAATATTCAGATAGGTCTTTTTCATCTCAAACATCTGACTCTGTGGCTTATTGCAACAGAAAATTGCTGCCTTGATAACGCTTGGTAATACTCTTACATTATGTGAGCCCCAGGATACTATTTATGAATCTAACTTTTTCAGTACTGCCTGCAGGCACGAGGCATGAGCAAATGGTGTTTATTGCAGTGCAAATAGGGTCTTGCTCTTGTGCAGATTCTGTGTGGAAGCTTGCACATTCCCCCATAGGATGGGAACCATATGGATTTTTTTCCTATTTTTTGGCAGGGAAATAGCGACCAGACGCTACAGATAATGCAGTCCCCAAATGCGGAGGGAGGGTTGATGTAGGAGGGGAGTATGTGCTTTGTCTGTTAAGCAACAGAAACTGTTAAAGCATTGCCTGTTGTGTGCCTGATGATGTACTGGGAACGTGGTTCTTTTTAACATCTCTTAAAAACATTTTCTTCTGAGCCCTTTATGAACCTCTCCTCATGAACATCCAGGAACATCTTTTTGCCTCCTAGTGAGGAGTTTTCCCTGTGCTTATGGAATCTGGGTATGCTGAAAAGGTTTATTTTCAATAAAAGGGCAATGTCCATTTTGCCACATCTTTTTGCCACCTGCCTTTCTAGGCTTTTGCTTCTAGCATTGCAATTGCAGCTGACGAGCAGGGACACTGACTGGCGCCTGCAAAAAGCCGTATGGACCAATGTAAGGATGCAAACTGCATTTACAGGAAATGCAGCTGAGCCTTTTGGAAAGCTCTCCTTAGAGCCCACAGGCCAACTACCACAAAGCCTACGGCTCTCCAGGTACCATACCAGATACTGTACATTTTAATGCCACGAAACGTGGGATCATAATTGAACAGTATATCTAAAATGAGTCTCTTTCCACTCCTCTTTCTGAAGTACATATTCTGATGACTGAGAATCCTGTATTCCCTTGGACTTACTTACAACATGCATCTTCCACCTCATTTCAGCTCTCCCTGAGCCTAAAGAAAAAAAAAGAGAAAAAGGGAAAGCCTAAGATAGAATATGGCAAGGTCAGCAGCTGCAGATCTTGTTGGGATGCTGTAGGCTTTACGCCAGAGCAGGCTTCTCCTGCATTTTTGCTCCTTCTGTCTTTTTTTAGGTCCCCAGCATGTCACTTATGAAAATTATATATTAAGACATTAGCCTATTTGTATATAAAGGGAATGTGAGGAGATACCTCTGTGTCCCATGGGTGAGAGCATGTTGAGCCCTCTTTGTGAGTGGGCCCTGCCAGGGTGGTGCATGACTGCAGCACTGTGGCAGGTTGAGCATCCTGTGCCTCAGGGAGGCTCCCCTTGAGCCTGTCCCCAGCAGGGACACCCCTGTTGGAATATTATGTCCAGTTCTGGGCTCCCCAGTTCAATAGAGACAGGGAACTTTTGGAGAGAGTCCAACGGAGGCCTACGAGGATGATTAAGAGACTGGAACATCTCTTGTATGAGTCAAGGCTGAGAGACCTGGGGCTGTTTAGTCTGGAGAAGAGAAGGCTGAGAGGGGACCTCATCAATGTCTATAAATATCTGAAGGGTGGCTGTCAGGAGGATGGAGCCAGTCTCTTTTCAGTAGTGCCCAGTGATAGTATGAGGGGCAGTAGGCACAAACTGCAGCACAGGAAGTTCCACCTCAACATGAGGAAAAACTTCTTTACTGTGAGGGTGACGGAGCACTGGCACAGGCTGCTCAGAGCGATTGTGGAGCCTCCTTCTCTGGAGACCTTCAAAACTTGACTGGGCGCGTTCCTGTGCAGCCTGCCCTGGGTGATCCTGCCTTGACAGGGGGGTTGGACCAGATGATCTTCAGAGGTCCCTTCCAACCCCTGCCATTCTGTGATTCTGTCCTCACCATACTACTGATCTTCACGCATGGCAGAGGAGCCTTCAGAATATACCTGTTCAGTTCTTGCTCTGTTGAATTCCCTCAGGCAATATCCAAATCCTTTTTTTTTTTAGATCCCTTTGGGCACAAGGGATGCTATGGCAAGAAGACAAACTTTTGTCTCTGGATGTAAGGGATTCCTGATTTCAAAATGTTTGACCTGTACCCCGTCACAGTGACTCAGATTGTTAAACGTGATTTATTATTATTAAAATTGAAATATATGAACTGGAATTTCTTACAATGTCATTTGCTGCATCAGATTTCCTTCCTTTATCTTCTTTGATGCTCTGGTGCATGCATTTTCACAATATAGCTGAGCATCCTGAGAGTATGTTTTAATTGATGCTTATTTGAGACCATTCCAAACTGCGACAGATAAATGGTATTGGCAGAGGTGTTGGAAGGGTTGTATTTTTCACATTACCAGAGTGTATATTCTACAAGCTTACGTACTATTTAGATAACTGCATCTCTAAGCTGAAACTGAAATGGTTAGCTGTCTGTCAAGTTCTTGGCTTAGCACACGTTTTCTGTAAATTTGGTATTTGCTGGGATTTATTGCAGAGTTTATCCTAAAGAGTCAGCATTAGTTCCAAATGGAAAGTTGTTTGTCCCCTGCACTTATCTTTGACCGAACAGTTCATATGGGGTATGAGTGCAGCATTAGTGCCAGGCTGATGGACAGAATGAGAACAGAATGAACAAAAATATGTTGTTTTCTCAAAAGAGTTTTGTTTTTATACTGTCCTTCCATTCAAGGGGTTTATGTGTATTTCTATTATATGTTTTACCTACAGAGTGAATTCTGTCAGTCTGCCATTGACAGTTTTCATTTGCTGCATGCAGCATTTTTTAGTTCATCTACTTAGCAACAGCATAGCCAAAGTGATTTCTGGTTAGCCTTGATGCAGGAGAAGACCCCTGTAACAGGACTTAGATAACATATGCATCATGCTAATGCCATAGATGAACCCAGCTAGAGCGGTAAAAATCTCTTCTCCCCTCAATGTTGTATGAATTTAATGTTTGATACAAGCAGTGGGATACAAATGCCTCTAAGTTCTCATAATAGGATATATATAAAATTGGGCAAAGGCACAGTTTTGAAATAGTCTCTGTGCGAGCATTGTAAGGGCAGATAAATGTTCCTAAAATAGCAATATATTTCTATTAAACAAAAAATCACTCAGACGCCACCTGCTGCTTTTGGCATTTTAAAATCTTATTTGGAACAGAGAGAACAAATGACTGCTTCTCTGTCTCCCTCTCCCCTCCTAACTTCGAATGTTTCCGCCCAACCTTCAAAGACAGCAGCCTGTTTTTCCGAGGCTATTGGTTGGATGAAGGCGGTGGTTATTTGATCCTGCATCCAGAATGAATGCATCCAGTCTGAACTAGACTGATTAGTACTAAATCCGGGATGCCAGGGCGATCAGGAAATAGAGCACTTGTTTAAACACCAGTAATGATTTTTTTGTTACAGGACTCTCATGGAAAGCTGCTGTTGATTGCCTCAGCGTGGGGAGAAAAAAACATAAAAAGGCAGGGAATGTAATCCACTTCACTGTTACAGAGAGAGCATATGTGCAAAATCTTCTGTTACTCGTAAGATCGGTGCACGCTATATGAGAAGGATCTGCATGGGGTTTAAATCGGACGAGAGAACACTGCACAGGAATGTTTCTCTCTCTCAGAGTCCAAATTATCAGCATTTTGACAGTTGTAAACCCACAAACATTCTTTTTTTAAGCAATTTTATTTTTCTGGCTTACAGTTAAAACTGAAAAAAGGACAAATGCAAAAATCTATACAAGCACACACATATTAAGTACTTACACCATCCACCAGTAGCGATGTTTTCCTAGGGATAATCTTATCAATAGTTATTAACCCACAAGGATGGAGAAGAAGTATGACATTTATTACCATCAAGCAAGAGATAGTGCAACTTTGTTCATAGCATGCAACAGTGGAAATCAAAACAACTAAATCTGAGATTTTCAGTGCTACCTGGGGCATTTAGGCTCATAATTTGTGATACATTTAAACAGAAGGTGGGTTTTTTGCTCTCTGCCTAGATGAATATGAAAATTTCAGCCAGAGTTTTTGTAGCCATCCCTTAATAAAATAATCCATGCATGTATGTGGAATGTGTTATTCTCAGCACTGAAGCATTAAGATCTGAAAAGAAAACAGTACCACATGTAAAAATGAAATCAGTAATATTGTCTTCAATATCATGTAAGAAATTTCCTTTCACTAGCTAGCACTCTGGAAAATCAGCTGCCTCTGCATTTCAGATAATTACTTCTTGTATCGTGAAGTTCTATATTTGTGCTAGTTGAAGTGAAAAAAATATGCTTTGTGTAAATATTCCTCCTCCTTTCCATTTTCAAGATCTGTTCAGTGGAGCCATCACATCTTCTTTATTGTGGTTTTGGAAATAGATGGACATAATTACCTGTGTAGACTCTTTTTGTCTTTAGTTAGTCAGAGCCTAGCAGTTGAAAGGTTCAAAAAAATCTCGCTTTTGTTCTTTGTTTGCAGATTTTATTCCTCACCGTACAGTATTCCAACAAACCGCATGATTCCACAGACATCAATCACGCCATTCATTGCTGCTTCCCCTGTCTCTACATATCAGGTACGTCAGATTTGCACTTGTCTACTATGTTTCCCAGTTAATTATATTTTGGATGTGGATGAAGGCAGAGGGTATACCACAGAAAATTGTGTGAGTGCTAGCGTTCTTGAGTCACACATTAAACAAAAGGCTTTCTAGTAGTACTCACGTATCATTTGGTGTGGGGTTTGAAGTGTTTCCTGTATTCTTTAAGCTAGCAATGAAAGCCACTGTCATTTTTTCTTACTTCAATCAGCTTCTCTAGTAAACAGCATTTTGCTTCATTTCCAGTTGACAACAGCAGAAGCTTATAATTCTTAATGAAATGTTTTGTCATTTTGGCTCCTTTTCATTAGCCAAAAGTTTTTTTAAATGTGTATTTTAATAAGTTATGTTGATTGCATTGTATTATGACCTTTTGACCCCAGCTGTATTTGCTGCAGTAACAGCATCCTTTAAAAGCTCTCATTTTTATCCAATAATCCCTGACAAAGCGATTTATTTGAGGATAACTGTCCTCGTATCCTTCTTTAGTCTCCACATGTTTTGTCGTTCAGAATTTCCCTTTTCAGCATATCCTGCACAGATCTCCACTGGGAAATTACTGCCATGCTCTGGCTTTCTGAGGTGGAAGTCAAAACCAGGTTGTATAGTTTTATTATTAGCTGTTCTCTGGGAACATACCACTTCACTCTGAAGCTGGTCAGTGGCTATACATTTTCCCATTTCAGTTATTTCTGTCCTATGGCATCAGTGTTCTTCCAGTCCAAAGTCCTACCCAAGATAAGCTACACAAACTTGCAAAGCTGCATGGTGGCTTGTTCTTAACGTTAGGGTTGGTTTGTTGTGTTGTTTTTTTTTTAGATGGTATGCTACTCTTTACAGGTAGTTCTGGAGGGTTGTGCTTACACTTACGGTGTTTAAAACGATAAATGATTCTTGTAATTTTCTTTGTCTTCTGTGTTATTTAATTTTAGATGGCTATGTAACACTTGCCAAACAAAAGTTGTTTTGGTGAGATAAATTTAGTAAGTTTCAATAAATGGCAACACCAAAGAAATGTCAGTGCCAGAGACATAAGAGTGCAGCTCACATGCACTTTATTCAGTAGCAAAGCTGGCTTAAGGTTCATACCACCTCTCTCTTATTCAGGCCACTGAATTTAGGCCATCCAGCCTCTTACTCCCATCACTGCTCCACAGCTCACAGTTGCTCCCATCTCCCAACCTGACTTGAACCATTACACCAGTTCATGGTTTGATGCATTTGCATGCATTGGTGTATTTTCATCAAAGACATTGATTTTTATGTTTTTTAACCCATATCATTCTCCATAGATAGTTTGGAGTGTAAGCCCAAAGGCATTTGCCCTGGCACAGAGAAGGAGCTGCAAAGATGCAAGAGTGGGAGCAATGAACAGCATAAACTGTGGCAACTCTAATATATTTTAACTAGTGGGGATTCAAAACAGAAAATTTTGTAGCAGACGTGTGTTTGCATCTGTGCATGCTGGTTTTGGTTCTAAAGATCTTTCACTGAACCTGCTTTTCAACAAAAAATCTACTTTGATAAACTTCAACAAGTATTGAGGCACAATTATACAATTAATTCTCACCACTTGCTTCATGAATAAAATCACAGAGCATTCAGAGAATTGGGACCTTGTATTTTTCTCCTAGTCATCCCTGCTCACACTCAGTCTGAGATGCCACATGCCCATCTCTGTGAGCTTAGGGATGATAACCAGTGAGTTGCCCACTGATGGCTGTAGCACAGCTATATTTTTGTGTACTCCCTGTGTGTTGTGGTGCCCAGACTGATGCAAAGGGCAACCGTTTCTTGGGTTGAGTCTGAGTTATGGTAGCATGTGGGCCATTCACGCTTAGCACAAGAGGAAGTTACGGCTCAGAGATGCTACCACAAATGCAGAGGAATTCTGTAATGCTTTTAATTGTTAGTAAAATTGGTATATCCATGGAATCTGTTACATGTCAGTCATAAGGCAGAACAACAAAGAAAGACTTTGGTGAGGCATATAGAATTCTGGTGGGAACAGACCCCACGATGCCCTAGGTAAGAGCTGATCCTGGGGGGCAGGGACATCTTAAGCCAGCTTTGCCATAGAAGCTTAGAATAAGCTTCAAAAACTCTGAATCAGATCTGCAGTTCTTACTGGAAAGGGAATAAATCATTCTGGAATCTCCAAAAATGTTACCCCTTTGAAAGTTCATACAGATGCTTTTGAAAATAAACTTTGAACATTTCATGTCTCTTGCACTGTTGGTTGGATTACATGTTCATGATTATATTGATGGATGAAAGCAAACAATGCAAATGAAAGAGTAGGACAACATGGAATATTAAAGACTGCTTTATGAGGTCAAATGGTGTGCATCATAGAAGTGGTGCAATCACTCAGACTTCTGACTTTGGAAGAAAATATTATGAAATGAAATTTGAAAGCTTTTTCCTTTGTCAATATCTTTATGAAGCATAAATGACTTTCCCGTTGAGTTACATGACTTAAGTCTTTTGCCAAAATTAGCTCTGTAGTTGTAATAGAAGGAATATTTTCAAGTAAATCTTTGAGTTCAGTTTTTAAATTTTCTGTGCTAATTAAAAGTATTTGATATGCAGGTCCAGAGTACTTCATGGATGCCTCATCCACCATATGTTATGCAACCAACAGTAAGTGGATACTTGCTTATATCCAGCTAAAAGTGCTTACGCTGTAGCCTTGCTCTGCTTGTCAGCCACATTAAAGTCCTAGGTCATGTAAGAGCAGCCAGCTGCTCCCTTTGACAAGAGCCCTCCGCTGTAAAGATTCTGCTTCTTTAAGGAGCACCATTTGATGTAGCATAAAGGGGAGGATGGGCGATATGTTATCTAACTGCATTGATTACAAGAGAATAGCAAGCTCTAAAGTGTTGCTTCTGAAGCTTTGCTTCAAGGGACTGCAAGATAACTGCATTCCTG